AGCTGGGCAATGGAGCAGCAACAGGTGAATAGCTTTGTAGTTGTGTGGAGAGGACAAAAAATCATTCTTGAGATGAATTCGAGCGCCACCTTTAAGGATTTCGGTGAGAAGCTGCAAGAACTCACGAACGTCAAGGCCGATACCTTGAGGCTGCTTGTTCCCATTGACAACACTTCGAAAATGGTTCATCCCTTTACCAAAGAGCACTCGTCCTTACGCCTTGACTCGATTTCGTTGCTGAAGGTAACAAAATATTTTGTACCCTAAGGCTGCGTTATCCCATTAAATAGAATTTTTTACCAAGCAGCATGGAAGTACTTATTGGAAGCCAATGAGCTATCTGACTACCATGAACTGCTGAACCAAGCACCCCCATTTCTCTAGGATTGCTTTGCTTCTTCCAATCACAAGTTGTTATGAGATGGAAACTGTGTTTTACGATTTTTGTTTCCCACAGGGAAAATCTATTATAATGATGGGAGTACCTGAAGATGAGGTTGATGAACTCCTACGAAATGCGAAGGTGGACCTAAGGATAGCTGGGTTTGATGAAGAAGAAAAGAGATTGAAGCAAAGGAGTGGACATGGATCATATTCCTTGCAGAGACTTCCTCAAGGAAATTACATTTTTTGTGATTTTCGGACACTTAGTCTTCCTGGAATAGAGGTAAGGTTCAGAATTCATGGGGTTTTGAGTATTTGTTTATACGATTAGTGAGCTGCCAGAATAAATTTTGGTGATTTGGCTTATTTTTAGTTGAAGTGAAACTGGTCCTTATGGCTGAAATGGATATGTCCTAAATTATGTATCTTCTGTAGCATCGAGGGGAAGAAAAATGAAGCAAGGACACTTTTCTTTCTTTTTGGTGGTTCAGTGACCATGTTTCGTATGATATTTTGACATGAATTCAATGGTGATATACTTCACTGGAGATGCAATATCTTCTAAGCTTAGCATCACTATGCACTAATGTTGTCACTGTTGCTTGGGAAGTGTTGGTGGAAAGTTCTCTGTGCTACCCTCACCTATTTATCCATTCGGTGGCCATCATTGTTCTTATTGATATTATCTTTCTCTTCTGGCATCTGAATATGTGAAATTATTCTGAACTTGTAAACAATCCATTAAGGGTTTGACGATTTTGAATCGTCAATATTAACTAGTTAGCAGCTTTTCTTGGCAATGGCAGTTAAATCCTCCTGCTTCGAAGGCCTTAGAGCTGCTTCATAAGCTAGCTTCAGATCCAGGAATTGTCGCGATAATGAATAAGGTACAATTGGATGTTCTTTTATGGTTCTTTTCATAAATTATGTGATCAAACTAATTTACATCCTTGTATCGGTTGTGATGTTTTTTCA